CTGGTAGTGACGATTTTGTCTGACCAATCAGAGATCTGCAGTGTTTTCACATCACATTTTAGTATCGGTAAGGTACACTTGGAACCTCAACAGAGGTGGTACCATTTAAAGCGAGCCTTACTGTACCGTACCATGCAGTGGAAAAGCGGCAATAATGTCGGCCCAGATCCGGCACACATCTGTCACTCTCAGAAAAAAAGGTACAAAAGCTGTCACTGGGGCTGTACCTTTTCAAAAAGTAAACTTTTTTCCATTTTAGGTGTTAATATGTACATTTTAAGTGCTAATATGTGCATTTTAGGTGCTAATATGTACATTTTAGGTGCTAATATGTGCATTTTAGGTGCTAATATGTACATTTGTAGTGTTAATATGTATATTTCAGGAGCTAATATGTCTATTTTAGGTCCTAATATGTATATTTTAGGTGTTAATATGTACATTTTAGGTACTAATATGTACATTTTAGGTGCTAATATGTACATTTGTAGTGTTAATATGTACATTTCAGGAGCTAATATGTCTATTTTAGGTCCTAATATGTACATTTTAGGTGCTAATATGTACATTTTAGGTACTAATATGTACATTTTAGGCGTTAATATTTACACTGCTTGTACAAAACAGCAGTGAGCAAGTAAACAATATCCTAATATATCCTATATTCCACAAACAGTCAGTTTCATGATTTACATCATTGCTTATGAACATTTCTGAACAGAAATATTTGGACTGAGTAATCAAAATAAGCTTCAATCCTATCATTTTATAACCTGTTATCAAAGGTTTGTCACAGCCAGCCGTGCTTCACGGTACACATGCACGGCCGTCTGTATCTGACAGCAAGCTTTATTCATGCTTCCCAATAGAGTCTTAAATTAATATCACAGGGAACAGTCTGTCACACTCGAATAGTCAAGGCGCCCCACTAGACATACAGCAGTTTTACTTTTCCTCTTTTAATTGCAATTCCATATTCTATAACTCATACTGTGCAATTACAGTGAGTCAAGAGGACAAACTTGTTTCAGAAATAAGATATGTTCTGTCTTACTCCAGTCTGTCTTTGCCCTTTTTGTTTTTGACATTCACAACCTCTGTTATGGATGAAAATAGGACAAAGTTTTCGACTTTCTTTTCGTTTTTTTTTTTTGTCTATACTGAAAAAACTGATGCGAGACCCTTACAGTCAACCAATCAGACTGTATGTATTTCCAGTCAGAGTTTTAAGTAAAATTATACTTTGAAAAGTTGTTAACCCTAACTGGTTTATGTGCCCTGTGTGCGTCATTTCAGAATTACCGTAATTAAGAGTTTCCGAGTCGAAAAAGGGCTATCAAATCTTTAAACTTGTAATTAAGCTGGACATTTAGAAGTTTATGAAAGCTCTGACTTTTCAAAATGACCGTGGATTTAACAGTTAAACCTTGCCGGGCGCATAATTTTGCTTGATGTGTCATTTTATTATAGCTAGTGTTACCAGGTGCGCTTTCTTTCTTCTTAAATATAGTATTTCCTGGTTAATGTGATTAGTATGTGAACTGGTTTGAACTTGTGAGAAAGAAGAATGCAGTACTTGCCTTCCCTAGTGAAAAAGTACATTTTAGCATACTTAAAAAGAATAGTAGTACAAACTGAATGTAGGTTGAATGAAGGATTAGCAATGATTTGGTCATTTCTGTACGGCTTATATAGTTGTGAGGTTTATTGTATTTGGCAGGTCTAAAGTCTGTGGAGTACACTCTCAGAAAAAAAGGTACAAAAGCTGTCACTGGGGCTGTACCTTTTCAAAAGGTCAACTTTTGTCCATTTTAGGTGCTAATATGTATATTTGAGGTGCTAATATGGACATTTTATGTGATAATATGTACATTTTAGGTGATAATATGTACATTTAGGTGCTAATATGTAAATTTTAGGTGCTAATATGTCCATTTCATGAGCTAATATGTCCATTTTAGGTGTTAATGTGTACATTCTAGGTGGTAATATGTCATTTTTAGGTGATAATATGTACATTTTAGGTGCTAATATGTCCATTTCATGAGCTAATATGTCCATTTTAGGTGTTAATGTGTACATTTTAAGTGGTAATATGTCAATTTTAGGTGTTAATATGTACATTTTAGGTGATAATATGTACATTTTAGGAGCTAATATGTCCATTTCTTGAGCTAACATGTCCATTTTAGGTGGCAATATGTACATTTTAGGTGCTAATATGTCCATTTCATGAGCTAACATGTCCATTTTAGGTGGTAATATGTACATTTTAGGTGATAATATGTACATTTTATGTGCTAATATGTCCATTTCATGAGCTAATATGTACATTTCAGGTGCTAATATGTACCACTAAGGTACCAATATGTAATCCAAGTAAGTTTTTCATTGGTTACTTGTAAACATGACAATAACAAATGACTTGATTTGATGTTCAGCCTTAGTTTGACCTTCTTAAGTAGGACTAGTCTTAAGGAAATATTTTATTAAATATGTAATTTTACAACTATTTTTATTGTCTTTGAAAATATGGTTAAATACTTTAAAAATAATTTTCTATTGAAAATGCTATGCCATTTAAATATATTTGACAGTTTATATTTAACTTAATAATAATCAAGCACTTTATATGTGCTTTAGTGTGTTACTCAACAAAAGAAACATATTAAACAAATTATTTATTATATATAAATGTACTTTAAAGTGAAACTTTTAATTTGACATTATTAGTGTACTTAAGTGGGTTAAGAAACATAGTCATGAAAGTGTGATGAAGATTTGAAGTACGCTACAAGTGCACACTCAATACAATGAAGTTCACTTCTTTCTCACAAGGGTTAAGACTCATAAATATGCATTTTGAGATGAAACATGTTGTCCACACCTGAAATCTCAGTTTAAGAACAGCCACTTTGTTTGTCACACTGAATGATATTATGAATCACAAGTACATTACGTACCATGACGCCAGTGCTTGAATAATAGACTATACACAGAATACAACATGTGGCAGCAAGTGCATTCACTGCTCTCGTAACAGCTGTTCATCAGCTGTGTCCTCGGGTACAACGAGTGCGACACATCCAACACAAGCACAGCCCTATGAGAGTCAATGAGAGATACAGTATTAACCATCCATATCCAGAACAGTGGCCCCAAAAAGTATTTAGACGTTCCTAAATGCTTAAAACATGTCAATGTTGTTGTATTTGATATTAAATGCACAAGAGTATTTTATGTTACTCTATTTCAGGACCATTCATGTTTATGATGACTTTATCCCTTTATCTTGTGCACTGTAAAAAATTTGTTATCACAACAATTTTTCTTTTGTCAAATCAACTTAAATAATTTATTTAGTTGAGATAACGTATTATTTTGAGTTTCTGATGATTAAATCAATCTCCTTCATTGCATTAACTCACTTTTTCCAGTTCAATCAACTTAAAATCTTAAGGCAACCAGGTTACTTACTTTTTTAAGTTAAACCAACACAAAGTTCACCCAGAAATGGAAATTTTGTCATCATTTACTCATCATCAAGTTGTTCCACTATCCCTTTAATATTAAACATTACTCGTTCTTGATGAAATTTACTCGATTACTCTCGTGGACAAAAATACAGAGCATGCATTTGTTTCTTTCCCTGTGACGTTAAGGTTTAAATAGATCAAACCACTCAAAGTCATTTCAACAGATACGGGGGAAAGACTAGGAACAAATTCGGCTATTTTTCTTTCTTTGTTTTTATTGGTTTGTAAAGGAAATGCCCTGCCCCTGAAAGTAAAAATACTGCACTATACAATAGCCCAGAGAACAAATCAATAAACATTTTTAATTTACATACATATCTCAGTTTGTAGTTGTTTCAGGCACTTAAAGTCACAGAAGTAACATTCCACATACAGTAAGTCTTTGGTCCTCAGTTTTTCAAATTAGGAAAGTAGGAAACCATGATTAGACAGAACTGAACTGGCTTTTCTTGGTTTTTCATAACTTCAACATAAACTGTGTTTCATAACTTTTCATTTATAAAAATATGAATGGGTTACACATGAATGTGGAGTGGAGAAGTGCTTTAGACATTTCTCCACCAATGTTCATTGTCATTGTTTCATATGCACGGGACAAAATCCTCACAAAACGTTTTTGAGTGGACTTGGAGCAAATTAAATCATTTTAAGTTCATTATAATAGGCTGGATTGGTAGAATGCATTTAAAGACAAAATATCTCACTTCTGGTCTCCATTGAGATTTGCACAAAACAACCTGCTATAATCGAATGGGGAGTCTCATGACACTTGGCAAAAACATGACCTGGTTATATTTTCACCCCAAAATCACAAGACAAAAATAGTAAATTATATTTTACATAAAGAACATTTCCTATTAAATTGTAGGACCATTAAGATGTAATAGTTTTATGACAATAAAATATATTTTCTATATATATATTATTTGATTATATAGGTCTATCATTTAAATTGTGGAGCAATTTATTCATCCCATTGTCATTTCTTCTTATTCATTCTTTGTTCTAATTACATAATTGTTTACTTGATTATTTATTAACTGAGAACATTTTACTTAAAGTCATTTTACTTTAAGTTTAGCTGTGGTTTGTGGTTTGCTCAGCCTGTAAAATTTGGTCATATTCTCTATCCTAAGTGATCAGGTTAATAAATCTAGATAGTACACAGTTAGAGTACTAATATATATATATATATATATATATGAAGAGTTCAGATGCAAAAGCCTCTAAATGCCATTTGAAATTTTCTTCTAAAATTACAATTTTTATCAAGCTTGTATATTTAAGTTCAGTAATTTCACTTAAATGGCAATTAATAGGTAATCTTCATTGCCATTTAAGTGAAATTACTGAACTTAAATACACAAGCTTGATAAAAATGATCATTTTAGAAGAAAATTTCAAATGACACTTAGAGGCTTTTGCATCTGAACTCTTCATATATATATATATATATATATATATATATAAAATCATTATTTCAGTATTGTGAAGACTGTTACAAAGTTGTGCACCACACGCAATGTAAAAAAATCCATATAGCTTATTTTAAAAGTTAAAAAATAATCAAGATTTATGAATTTAGTCTGTTCTTTGAGCCATGCTGACTATCGTGCATCTAACACAATAAATAATTTGGTAAATGTGGTGTCCTAATTATAAATAAAACATTTTTGGAAAATGCCATTCTGATAGCAAAAAAAAAAAAACAACAACAGTGGAACTGATTAATTGTACTTAACTGTTTGTTGGTTTAAATAGACAAATACCTTATTATTTTGTTGATTTAAACAAACAAATAACTTAATTTTCACAGTAATACAATAAAATGACTGTACTAAATTATTATTAGTAGTACTAGTATTACTCTTATGAGAATGTGAGAATTTCTTTATGCAAAATATACTTTTCTTCTCTTGATATTGAAGTGAAATCTAACAACATCTTGAAGACTGCAAATACAGTATGCCCAGGCTCAGCTACACGGCAGCCATGTTTGATAGGAGCTGTTACAGACGGAAATGGGCGAATGCACGTGTGCTATATAGTAGTTGCTGAAGTTGACGTCTCTGACGTAGGGAGCCGGTTGGTAGTAACATGTTACATTAGACAGTGCAGGGATGGCGTTCTGTTCAGCCAGCACGCGTAGTGCCAAAGAGGAGATGAGCGCGAGCGTCTGTCTCCGCTCGTGGCCCATGAGACAGACGGTGCTCTCATCAACCACATGATGGAGAGTCACGAGGCAATCGTAACGCTTGTGCTCCATGCCCTTAAAGTGGTTCTGCAGGTACGCCTCCAGCTTCCTCTGCTGCTCATTGATGTCAGAGAAGTCGATGAAAAAGCGCGAGCACATGTAGCGCTGGAGCGTCTTCATCTGCGCCTCGGAGGCTGGCCGGAAGCCTCTCACCAGCAGGTGGCAGTATTTCAAGAGCCCGCCTCCGCGGATCTCTTCCGGGCTGTGCGTGGCGATGATTTTGGCGTGTAGGTGTCCAAGCGCTTCTTCAAAGTTCCCGTACATGCTCTCTCCGAGCACGGTGGGGTGGAAACTCTCGGACATGGGCGTCTCAGAGCAGCGGTCAAACAGCAGCAGCGAGTCCAAGCCGATCTGAAACGAATCCACGCTGAACTCGAACTGCCGTCGCAGGGAGTCCACGAACTTCAGCTCCACGTTTTTACCAGTGTTGTTGGAAAGCGATATTAGGCTCCAGCGGTCTGTGTCGTTGCACACCTTCACCAGCTTCTGCACATACACTTCCTTTAAGGTCAGCGCCGTGATGCGGTCTCGGCTCACGCCGGCGGGCAGGAACTCCAGGAGGCTGTCCAGCACCACATCCTTCACCAGACGAAAGGTCTTGTCGTCAGTCAGACTCAGCCCAAAGATCAGGTCCAGGTCTTTGTAGCCCAGGCCAGTGTCCTGATGGAGCACATAACTGGCGGCAGAGCCGTTCAGCTTCACATCACGCACCGCTACGCCTCGCTCTTCTAGACGCGCCCGCACCACCTGCACATCAAGAAAAGAAAGAGACTTTTTTTTACAAATTTCGTACAGAATTGTTTTACTTTTGCTTCAATATGACGGATAGTCGCTGCACTGAAACTCTCATTTGGACCGTTTGGACCCCATTGAAGTCCATTATATGGAGAATGTTTTCATCAAAAACCTTAATTTATTTTCAACTGAAGAAAGAATGACGCGGACATCTTGGATGACACGGGGGCGAGTAAATTATCAGCAAAAGTGAACTAGTCCCCATGAAATCAAAATTGACCACAGTGTAAAAATATATTGATGGTTTAACTTAAAAAAGTCTAAGTAACCTGGGTTGCGTTAAAATTTTAAGTTGATTGAACTGGAAAAAGTGAGTTAATACAATGAAGGAGATTGATTTAACCATCAGAAACTCAAAATTATATGTTATCTGAACTAAATAAATTATTTAAGAAAAAATGTTGTGATAACTACACTGTAAAAAAAAATATTGTTGGTTTAACTTAAAGTAAGTAACCTGGTTGCCTTAAAATTTTAAGTTGATTGAACTGGAAAAAGTGAGTTAATACAATGAAGGAGATTCATTTAACCATCAGAAACTCAAAATTATATGTTATCTCAACTAAATAAATTATTTAAGAAAAAATGTTGTGATTACTACAGTGTAAAAAAATATTGTTGGTTTAACTTAAAAAAGTAAGTTAAAATTTTAAGTTGATTGAACTGGAAAAAGTGAGTATTAATTTAACCATCAGAAACTCAAAATAATAAGTTATCTCAACTAAATAAATTATTATAAAGTTGATTTGACAAAAGAAAATATGTTGTGATAACAAATCTTGAAAATATTTTTTACAGTTTGCCTAAATTGATCGTTTTGTGGTGAACAAATCATACATGCAAGTCAATCCACACAAAAAATTTGTTTGGCTTTGTAATCTTTAATCAAATTTTGAAAATGCCCCTCCCCTCTGCATTGGAGGACCTTGTCCGATGACGTAGGCTTTACGGTTTGGGTGTCTCCTTAACATTCATAACCAAAGCGAGCATTGATTGACAGCGTGTGTAAACTTGCATCATCCTCCATTTCAGAATGAAACACCCATTTTTCTAGATCCAATCAGGTGCTAGTTGGGAAAAAAAGCCACGCCCACTATTTTGCCTCATTTAGTATTCCGTTTCTCTCGGAAATACGTCACAACATTGGAGAAAAGTCGTTTGCAACTTCCGGTTTCGGGGGGATTAAGGTGATCTGGGTGGTTACTAGAACATTGCTATGCATTACTTAAGTGTTAAGGTGCTGTTTTTTCTTTCTCTCTGTCTCTGTCTGATTTATGAATGTTTTTTACCCATCACAACACATGATTTTGGTTGACCTATTTCTCTGTACTGTTACATAATCCCTACAGTGTCTGGACCTGTTAGGATCTAACTGGAAATGTTTTATTTCATCAGCAGATATGTCTGCACACTTCTGACAACTTGTCTACATTAAAACTACAATAAAAACTTGTCTAAAGATTAGACAAACGATCAAAAAACAACTTTCAGATGATCAGCCAGACAAATGCTCCAGAACAAATGTTGGTTTTCAGGGATACAGCAAAGGTCGGGAAATAAAATGAAACTTTCAGATCAGTTTCCGCAATGGAATTATACGTACATTTCATTCTTGAAAATATCAACCAATGTCAACCCAGTTAGTTACACTGGTAACCAAACACTTTCAGACAGTTGGTGGGCCATAATGACAACAGTTTGTCCCTAATAATATATTTCTTGAAAATAATAACTTCACTAATTTGTAAAACTAAACATTTTGTATTCCCAAAAATGTTATTGTCTTTTTCATAGCAATGTTTGGCAATACTTTAGTTTAGAGTTCTCACTATACACTCTCAGAAAAAAAGGTACAAAAGCTGACACTGGGGCTGTACCTTTTCAAAAGGTCAACTTTTGTCCGTTTTAGTTGCTAATATGTACATTTTAAGTATATGTATATTTTAAGTGTTAATATGTACATTTTATGTGCTAATATGTACATTTTAGGTGCTGATATGTACATTTTAAGTGTTAATATGTATATTTTAAGAGTTAATATGTACATTTTAAGTGCTAATATGTACATTTTAGGTGTTAATATGTTCATTTTAGGTGCTAATATACATTTTAAGTGCTAATATGTACATTTTAGGGGCTAATAACAAGTACATTTTAGGTGCTAATATGTACCACTAAGGTACCAATATGTACATTTAGGTGTTAATATGTACATTTTAGGTGCTAATATGTAAATTTTAGGTATTAATATGTATATTTTAAGAGTTAATATGTACATTTTAGGTGTTAATATGTACATTTTAGTTGCTAATATGTACCACTAAGGTACCAGTATGCAGCCTTTGGGTACAAAAGTGTACCTTTTGAAAAGGTACAGCCCCAGTGACAGCTTTTGTACCTTTTTTTTCTGAGAGTGTATTAACTAGTTGCTTATTAGCTTTCATATTACTTCGATATTGGCTGTTTATTAGTACCTATAAAGCAGTAATTAGATGTTTATTGAGGCAAAAGATGTAGTTAGTAGTTAATACTGAGAATTGGATCCTAATCTGAAGTGTGGTTGATTGTTCAAAAGTCAAAGCATATGTACTGTATGACAAAACAATACAACAATTACAAAAATGACTCATGCACAAAATAACACACAAGTTGCAAGGAGCATTCCCTCAAAAAAGGATAAAGCCTAGAGGGACTAATCCACAGTTTTACAGTTAAAATCTCCTCTGAAACTCCTAAAAAAGACATACATTGAGATATATTGACATCTACAATCCTATTTCCTTTCATCTTGTGTTGAAAGCTTGTAAAAAAGCCACAAACACACTGGTCTGACCGGACCAGTGCTGACAACGCCTTGGCTCACCTTCTTTTGTTTTCTAACCTGGCCAAAATAGGTTTTGTGTTTTATTTGTAGGATGATCGTAAGGCAAATTTCCGCACAGCATTTCACAGACTTCGGCTGGGGATCAGGCCAACAGAACACCGACAGCCAGTCTCACTGTGAACTGCCAAATGCAAAGGGATGAATGAACTACTTACGAGTCTCTGACACTGGCCCAGGCTCAGCAAATGAGTCAGTGAATCCCCTGTATACTGGACTAGACTATTAAGAGTTTTTTTCTGATCCCAAATTCTTTCCCAAAATTCACAATGGAATCTTTGAAATTCTAGCTATTGGATGGTCATGTGGATAACGCTAGGGTGTTATATGAAGCTCAGATGAAACTTTAAGCAGCTAGTCATACAAAACTTCCATTACACCAGTTATACGGCCCATTAATAAAGGCCTTGTCCAAAAACATTCATCTGATTTTCCAAACAAAAAAACTAAAGTAAGTCATCATTTACTCACCCTAATTTTGTTCCAAACCAAGACTAGGAATGTTAAGACTAGGAATAAAGACAAAAAGACAAATTATAGCTTTGAATTAAGTTTTGTTTGTTTGTTTTGCTGAATACGTTAGTCTTACACTCTCAGAAAAAAAGGTACAAAAGCTGTCACTGGGGCTGTACCTTTTCAAAAGGTAAACTTTTGTACATTTTAGGTGCTAATATGTACATTTCAGGTGCTAATATGTACATTTTAAGTGTTAATATGTACATTTCAGGAGCTAATATGTCCATTTTAGGTGCTAATATGTACATTTTAAGTGTTAATATGTACATTTTTAGTGTTAATATGTACATTTCAGAAGCTAATATGTCTATTTTAGGTCCTAATATGTATATTTTAGGTGCTAATATTTATATTTTAGGTGCTAATATGTACCACTAAGGTACCAATATGGAGCCTTTGGGTACTAAAGTGTACCTTTTGAAAAGGTACAGCCCCAGTGACGGCTTTTGTACCTTTTTTTTTGAGGGTGTACAGGTTTTGATCAACATGAAGGTGAATAAATGATGACAGAACTTGAACTATCCCATAATTTCTTGAACTATCCCAAAACAAGGGGCCTTTCTCAATCCGTGTTCTTGTGTCCTTGTGAAACTTTTTGTGACCCAAGTACTGTCCCAATACACAAGTTTGCATTTTGGCAAGAATGGTTAAAAATCCCGGATGTGTTCTTGACACGCCCATTTTACAGAGGATGTGTTGGTTGGTAACTTGTGTGGCAGAAATATCCCAGCATTCAATTCGCCATTCGAAGCAGGTCAATACAGCAATTCATTTTTCTACAATTACGTACTGTATTTCATCACTAAATTCACTTCTGAGAACATTTGATGCAAGAAATCAACTGTGTAGATTTCAAATATTGGCATTTTTACGTAAATTTATGGCGAATCAAAGACGTTTTCTGAAGTGAGAATGTCCATAAGCGCCTGCGGGTGTTAAGTTAGCTAGCAACAAGTCCGTTCTTTGCATTCTTGGTTTTAAAAAACTTGTTTGTTTTTTTTTAAAAAGATGCATTTTACAGTGAAATAATGTTAAAAAGGCTCTGTTGATTAGCTCCCCCTGCAGGTATGGGTGTATGGTGTAATGTACACCTCAAACTGATTCCATCCGCTGGTTTTACCAGGCTTATGTAACATGCTGGAGGGATGAATTCCTTTAAGACATCCATTCACATACTCATAAAAGCACCTGTTCTAAGACAGGAACAATGGGAATGTCTTACATGTAGTCTATGTATCCTTTCAGATTGAAAAAAAACTAAATAATCCTGAGGAGTTAGTTTACACTCTGGCCAAACTGAAAGACTTACCAGGCTCCTCTTTACCACACGGATGCCATGTCAGCTCTGGTTCACAAGTCTACTGTTTCCAACAGGATTAATCCACTTTTAACCTTATGTGCCACAAACAAGCCAACTTTGTCTGCTAAACAGGCCAGTGTAAGCCAAGCAACAATGCACAAAATTATACCACTGGGAAAAAAATGAAATAGTGGTGATTTGTGTCTGAGTGTTGTTTCTACACTTGGTAATAAGAACGATGCATGCTTTACAACAACACCTAATACTGATGCCATGACCAACACATCTAAGAGTTTGCCTTCCTGGTACTTGAAGACGTTTCCATTGTTATATTGTAGACAAAACTACAAAACACTTGTGAATACTGCAAATTGCAATCATTGTCCGAATGCTACTAACATTTAGGAGTCGAAATGAACAGGTTTTTATCAGTCTGCCATGCATCATGCTTAAATTAATCTGTGTTGGTACTACTGGGCTTGCTTAAAACATTTCAATTATATATAGAGTTTTTTGAGACACTTCCTAGCAACCATATTGCATATTTATGAGCAGAACTCAGTGGACGTGATTGGATGGCCAGTGTTTCAGTGCAGAAAATTCTCAGAGACTTTTTACAAAATGTCTATTATAATAGACACTCTCAGAAAAAAAGGTACAAAAGCTGTCACTGGGGCTGTACCTTTTCAAAAAGTAAACTTTTGTCCATTCCAGGTGCTAATATGTACATTTTAAGTGCTAATATGTACATTTCATGTGCTGATATGGACATTTCAGGTGCTAATAAGTACATTTTAGGTGCTAATATGTACATTTCTGGTGCTATTATGTACATTTTAGGTGCTAATAATATGTACATTTTAGGTGCTAATAAGTACATTTTAGGTGCTGATATGTACATCTTAGGTGCTAATATGTACATTTTAGGTGCTAATATGTAAATTTTTAGTGTTAATATGTACATTTCAGTAGCTAATATGTCAATTTTAGGTGCTAATATGTACATTTTAGGTGTTAATATGTACATTTCAGGTGCTAATATGTACATTTTTAGTGTTAATATGTACATTTCAGGAGCTAATATGTCTATTTTAGGTCCTAATATGTATATTTTAGGTGCTAATATGTACATTTTAGGTGTTAATATGTACATTTCAGGTGCTAATATGTACATTTTTAGTGTTAATATGTACATTTCAGGAGCTAATATGTCTATTTTAGGTCCTAATATGTATATTTTAGGTGCTAATATGTACATTTTAGGTACTAATATGTACATTTAATTGTTAATATGTACATTTTAGGTGCTAATATGTACCACTAAGGTACCAATATGCAGCCTTTGGGTACAAAAGTGTACCTTTTTAAAAGGTACAGCCCCAGTGACGGCTTTTGTACCTTTTTTTCTGAGAGTGTAAGACTAACGTATTCAGCAAAACAAACAAACACAACTTAATTCAAAGCTATAATTTGTCTTTATTCCTAGTCTTGGTTTGGAGCAAAATTAGGGTGAGTAAATGATGACATACTTTAGTTTTTTTTGTTTGGAAAATCAGATGAATGTTTTTGGACAAGGCCTTTATTAATGGGCCGTATAACTGGTGTAATGGAAGTTGTGTATGACTAGCTGCTTAAAGTTTCATCTGAGCTTCATATAACACCCTAGCGTTATCCACATGACCATCCAATAGCTTGAATTTCAAAGATTTCATTGTGAATTTTGGGAAAGAACTTGGGATCAGAAAAAACTCTTAATAGTCTAGTCCAGTATACAGGGGATTCACTGACTCATTTGCTGAGCCTGGGCCAGTGTCAGAGACTCGTAAGTAGTTCATTCATCCCTTTGCATTTGGCAGTTCACAGTGAGACTGGCTGTCGGTGTTCTGTTGGCCTGATCCCCAGCCGAAGTCTGTGAAATGCTGTGCGGAAATTTGCCTTACGATCATCCTACAAATAAAACACAAAACCTATTTTGGCCAGGTTAGAAAACAAAAGAAGGTGAGCCAAGGCGTTGTCAGCACTGGTCCGGTCAGACCAGTGTGTTTGTGGCTTTTTTACAAGCTTTCAACACAAGATGAAAGGAAATAGGATTGTAGATGTCAATATATCTCAATGTATGTCTTTTTTAGGAGTTTCAGAGGAGATTTTAACTGTAAAACTGTGGATTAGTCCCTCTAGGCTTTATCCTTTTTTGAGGGAATGCTCCTTGCAACTTGTGTGTTATTTTGTGCATGAGTCATTTTTGTAATTGTTGTATTGTTTTGTCATACAGTACATATGCTTTGACTTTTGAACAATCAACCACACTTCAGATTAGGATCCAATTCTCAGTATTAACTACTAACTACATCTTTTGCCTCAATAAACATCTAATTACTGCTTTATAGGTACTAATAAACAGCCAATATCGAAGTAATATGAAAGCTAATAAGCAACTAGTTAAGCCTATTGAATAGAAATATTTTGAGATAAACCTACCACTAAACAAGATCAACTATGGTTGGTTGCTTCACATGTCAGTCAGTTTCTCTCAGTTATAACCAGCCTAAACTGCATTGTGAACCAGAATTTATGCTAAGTCGAAATTCATGCAATGAAAGACTAGCCATGACCTGTGCAATAACTGTAATGACTGTTCTATGTGTACACATTACATTAGTGCATTGATTTGAATTGATTTGTCAAGAATATTAAAATATGATGCTGAAAATAGATATAATGTGTTGGTGATGACAATGTTTGGCAAGGCAAAAAAATGAACTACTGGCCTTCTTGAGAGGGTTTTATTGAGAACAAAAGTGAATATTTTTCATAGAGACAGTCAAAAAATTGAATTAAAGATTAGATACTGCAAAACCTAAAAGCTTATGGACTTGTCTAATGGCTCCCACGTTATACACAGAGCCCTACAACCAGATGGTACTGTAATAAGCACTTTCATTTGGAGGTCAGTGATGTCATCAGAGAGAGGCCTAATTTTGAGTAAGACATTTGATACGGCTGGGTAAAAATACTAGTATATCTCGTTTCACAGTTAATTGTGTGAACTGGCTTCCTTGTGACCATGAGGATGTAAATAAAACAAACTAAATTAAGGGAAATAATGCATTCATATTAAAACTAAGAAGATACAGAGGCCTTTTAGTTTATTAATCACCCTTCAAATATTTAAGTTTATAGAAAAATATGTATTACAGAAACATTCTAAATCTGTTTATGTTTGATATGCTGTTTGGCAACCATTTTAAATAGGGAATTATTTAAAAAAAAATCTTTTTTTTCTTTTTCTTTTACTTAAGTCAGGAATTAACTTACTAACTTTCCTATGTTTTCCAAGTAGCCATGGTTATTCCATTTAGGAAATAGACTTTAACTTTTCTGTTACACATTTTCTGTAACATCCCCTAATTATAGCCCTAAATAATCCACGCAATTATTAGTGAATGAGACCCATCAATAATTGCGTGGATTATTAAGTCAATACACGTGCGTATGAACATACATTTGTTCTTAATATCGTTCTAATGTTTGAATTTGTAATGCATTTGGAGTAGGTCTACCTATTTATGAGCGGCCCGTAGCACACGAGGTTAGTCATTTGCATTAAACACGCCCAAACCATCTTATAAAGGCTTTTTTTCCAACCACACACAGCCTTTCCTCTCCTCTCCTCACTCAGCCAGCAGACACACACTCGCCAGATCCACGACCAAAAGCCAAGTGTATCATAATCATTCCCAAAACCATTTCAGATCACGAAACAATAAATAGCCAGTAGATCAAGCGTAGGTCTGCATTATTTAGAGAAACCTCGCATCTGAGAATAACCAAAGCTAATGGAGGTTTTCTCTTTCACTGGCTAGCCATGATGAAATATAGATGAGATTAATTGCAGGTCTATTATTCATTAATATAGCATAATATTATATTAGGCTATATAATTAATAAGAAATATAACGTCTTAACATTTTTTTGTGTAGGCTACGAGTGGTTTCAGTTGTTCCTACATTTTTTATTATTCTTTTTAAATCGCACATTGAGAATGCATTTTAGTATGCCATTTTTTGTGAATCATGATTTGTTCGAACTTCGAGAAAACGTTCGTACACATTTTCAAGCACACATTTGTAGGACTACGAAGCGGCTATATGAGCGAATGGGTCATATAGTCTACCTGTAGCTGTAACACCCCTTTACTGTAGCCTACTGTGGCGTAATAAAATAACATTTTGTATAAAACAATAAGACCTGAAATGTTTTTGTGAAGAATAAAAATGTGTTTGTTTGTTTTTTACACTTTTATCTATTTATAAAAAAAAAACATAAACATTTATTTTCATTGGCGATTGGTACTAGTGTAGCTTTTATATTTTGTTTTGTGTGAGGATCTCCTTCAGGAATGTTCCAAATTATATAAAAACTCTGAAATTGGAAATGTCGCATTCTTTTGGCGCAAACTGTGTTCCGCTGAGGTTTCATGTAAATAAGCCTATCTTTGGATCCTGTACCTGAACGATATGTCGAGGCTGAATGGAGAGTGTCGGGAAGTTTCCTCGTCCGTGGATCGGGACACACTCTCCCAGGATGGAGTCCAGACGCTGCACCTGCTCCCACGACAAAACACAACAGCGCCGGCTGTGCTCCGACACATCCGCGGAGGACATGGCGAAATCAGTCCGAGGAAAACACAAGTCTGCTCGATGGATGTCAGCTGGATGCCCCAACTAGTTTCTGGTGATGTCCGACGAGTTCGGGTTAGTCGATTCAAGATCAAAGCGTGGATTTGAAAAGTTATTTTATCAACGAAACAGAATCCAGATAAATTTGCCGATGAACAAACGAACTCAGTTACTCTCACAATCTTCCGTTCATTCACTGTGCCTGCTGTAATAAGGCTACACATACATTTAAACCTGTCATATTTACATACGCCACTCAATTGGTCCGCTTCATGAATAGTTAAATCTTTTATAAGAACTTAAGGGTTTGTACACGCCCACGTTCACACGTCACACTAACCTGCTGCGATCATTGGTTGTAGGAGGGGCGTTCTGTGTGTGGGAGCATGTGTTCAGCTAATGGTAAACACAAAGCAGAATTGTCGAAGCTACAGTAGTCAGTTTTTATTACCATGAAATTATATTCACGTCGTAGTTTGATTTACAGGAGGTTTTCCAAAAGTCTATTTTTCTCATTGCTTTTCAAGTCATTTATCTAAAAACTTACATAGTCTATAATTTGTTATGTTATTATCACAGCACCTGATCTAAAGGAGTAATTAGATCTGCATGAGAACTCAGCTATTTCAAGGAAGTGAAACTGATCTAATTTGTAAACATTAGGTGGAAATCGGATATCTGACATAGAGCAGTGCTCCGGGTGGTTTCAAGCTGTCTTAACTGGAAGACATTTATTACAAGAAGGTGATTTGCAGAACAGCACAGGCATAAGAAAGGCAGCCTAATCAAATGTCAATGATAAGAATGAATCAAATTTTTTTATATTGATTGGAGAAAACCTTAACAATATGCTAATTTTTTTAAAACAAACTAATTTTTTCTTTTCATGTTTTATAATGGAAAATGTATATATTCTAAATTAAACTCTACACCATCAATTCCTTCATTTATTTATTTATTATTATTATTTAAAATAAATTATACCATTTATTTGAATCAAATGTTGTTTATTGTTTATTTGTATTAATCCTTTAATCTATATTCTTCTAATTTCTATGAATTTTTTTACTCAAATTGTAACATATTTAATTGTTCATTTTAATCTTTTTATTATTCATTTATACCCATTTACAGTCAGTTGTGTTTTAAGTGAACAAACAGTTGAGAAAGATGAGTCAGTCAAAGGTAAAAAGGTAAAGCTCTTAAAAGTAAAAAAACTGCAAATTGTTACACAGTATGTATGTCTTAGCCTTTGGGTCTGATATTATATTTGATAAGATGATATTATCTTATATTAAATTTCACAGGAAGTTTAAAAGGGCCTTTTATAACCTGCTCAAACACAAACAGTAAAGCCCTTACCTCTGCAAACATCCTTTATTGTCCCAGCCTCCATAGAGCAAACAGATCATGTCCTCAGCTTGACACGCTGCTCATATATGACTTTAATCCTGCTTCTATTCCGTCATAGAAATATGATCTTTAGCTTCAAGGCATTTAAAATACGTCATAAAGTAGACCGACCTGTGTAAGTGTAGCAAAGTATCATGTAAAGGAACAGAAACAAAAAAAAAACGCTGATATCTGTGTTGTCATAAGGAGCAGGTTAAGAACCTGAACTGATGTGACCTATAGCCTGGGGGTGCTCTCTCAATTCTTATTTGTGCATCCTTGTTTCCTTTCCTCGTGTCTCAGCTGCACCCCCTGTAGGATGCAAGGAAAGAAAATGAGTAGGCTATGGAGTTTTTGATGAGTGCGATTTTATTCACGCTGCAAGGTACACACAATTTATACTTTTAGTCAAACATGGCAGGAGACGCGAAGTTACCTTTCGAGGTCCTGAGCTGGTGTGGTTACACACGTGGTGTGCGGTTGTGAGGCCGGCTGGATGTACACTAGTACTGTCAAATTCTCTGAAACGCCTTTGGGGAACAGTGAAGAGGACTGGGCCAATATTCCACAGCCCACAATCAACAACCCTTCGCCTCCTCACTAACACAGATTTAGACAGATTTGTGAACAAGATTTGAGATAAATATGCCTTTTGTGTACATACACTCTCAGAAAAAAAGGTACAAAAGCATGTCACTGGGGCTGTACCTTTTCAAAAGGTAAACTTTTGTCCATTTTAGGTGCTAATATGTCCATTTCAGGTGCTAATATGTACATGTTAGGTGATTGTATGTACATTTTAGGCGATAATATGTCCATTTTAGGTCCTAATATGTACATTTCATGAGCTAATATGTCAATTTTAGGTGGTAATGTACATTTTTAGGTGCTAATATGTACATTTGAGGTGCTAATATGTACATTCTAGGTGATTGTATGTAAATTTTCGGTGATAATATGTACATTTTAGGTCCTAATATGTACATTTTAGGTGCTAACATGTACATTTCATGAGCTAATATGTCCATTTTAGGTGGTAAAATGTCCATTTCATGGGCTAATATGTACATTTTAGGTGCTAATATGTACATTTCATTAGCTAATATGTCCATTTTAGGTGGTAATATGTCAATTTTAGGGGTTAATATGTACGTTTTAGGTGCTAATATGTCCATTTCCTGAGCTTATATGTACATTTTAGGTGCTAATATGTACCACTAAGGTACCAATATGCAGCCTTTGGATACAAAAGTGTGCCTTTTGAAAAGGTACAGCCCCAGTGACAGCTTTTGTACCTTTTTTTCTGAGGGTGTAGCTACATAGTTTAGCTCATGAAAATGGGAGCAAAAGTGTTGCATTTATAATTTTGTTCAGTATATATACATAAATAGACCATGGTGAACATATTTAGACACTTTGTGAACCCTGTTTTATAATATTGCTTTCAAAAAAGTCTAGGGCTTTAACAAAGTTGTTACGCGACATTCAGCAACTGCGAGATGACGTTCTGACCTTATGCTATAAAGATTTCCTTCATTTAGAATGTTATACTTTGTGGGCCTAACAGTAGCCTAAATTAATTATAATCAACACCTACAAGTGTACTAGCCTGACTACGTCAGACTTCCTACTTCCGCTAATTTCATTTCGCTCCGAAGCAAAGTGAAGTATAGCAGTCTGGTATTACCAGGCTACAAGTGTACACTTTTAAGAGTGAAAATGACATAGAAGGTTAGCTAATTCAACTTTATGAAAACTGCATATAATCAAATTGCACTTCCAAAAGTCCTACATTTGTGAAAAAACAAATATATGAATAGACAAAGTATAATGAATAAAACACAAAAAGCCAGATCAGAACATTTAATAAACAGGTACAACCTGGCAGACAACAAAGCAAATCGGAGCTTCACATGAGGGAGTACTAGCATGAGTATTTGCCTTCATTGTGGCTTATGACTTTTGGCATAAAGTTAAAATATTTGTTATACCTGAGCGGGTGAATTGGCGACTAATTCATATGAATTTGTAAAATCTCATTCGTACATTTTGGTACAGTCTGTTGTGCTTACATCCCAGTGCCATTTATGTTTTGGAAATTGCCAAAAAAAAAATACTTTACAGTAACAGCTTCCCGTCAGCGAGCTCTCTTACAGGCAACGGTCAGATATTGTTAAATCGTTCAGGTGGCTCTCTAGACTAGGGTTGATATACTGTTGTTCCTGGAATGAACTGCTTCCCGGCCCTCAGACCTGCTATTTACATTCACTACAACTCTTACATAAGACCATACACACCTACTCACGTCAACATGACAAACGGACATGGACAGGCAGCGTGGTATGGAAAAATGTGGTTGTTTATTTAATTACTGTAAAACTGGGATATCAGTAGCATAGCAATATTAGCCAGAGGTTTAGGATACAGTCAGACCAGCTGGGAATTGAAATTTGGTTCCACGGATGAAAACAACTCGCTTAAGTGTGTGGAAAGAAAGGCAGAACATATGGGGAAGATATGAGAAGCAGAGATGTGTATTTGGGTGGTTGGTTTGCAAATGGCCCTTCTTTAAACATCTACTGTTTTTATTATTTATCATTACTGAATGGCACTGGATCAAGTCCAAATGAGTGAATAGTAAAGTTAAATGTTTTCCTATATTTCAATATTTACTTTGTGAGGCACACCTTGGAACCATTTATGTATTTTATTTTTAATAATGTTGCACCTTGGTTGTGTGAACACAAGTTCAAAATGAAATAATTCATTAAATAAAAAAATCCCGTTAAATTGCCAGAAATTCACCATAAATATGGTGTCTGTCACATTTGGTTTGGAGTTTTGGTTCATTCTTAGGTTTTCATGTCTTTTCATGTACGTATAACCGGACTAAACTAATTAAGTGGCTTAAACGTGATTGTTTTGAACATAATCCGAAAACGAAATCAGAGTGATCCTGCCAACGACTGTAGTTTCCATCACCTCCCAAAAGACGACGAATCTTCCTCTGTACATTTGTTTAAATTCTTAATATTCTATAAACTCTATCAGCATGTGTTTGGCTGTTCTCTACTGATGTTACACCTAAACTCAGGATCAAATACCAAAATGAATACCAAATGTGCCAGTTAATGTATTCCAGTAGCACATTCATTTATAATTTTGAATAAACTCCAAAGCACAATGACTAAGTGTGTATTTTTTTATTTCAATTGTTTGTCAGCTCACACAACTGTCTGTCACCATGCCTTGATGAGTATTGATTTTTAATAATGTTATTATAATACTCCCAACCAACTACTGCGGAGGGTAAAGGTACTGTTATTTCACCCTTTTTAATTTCGTTGAGGTTGTGTTCCCACATCGTTAGCTAGTTTGGATCGCTATAACTTGAATGACCGTCAACTGTTGAATGAACGAGTGTCAAGCATGTCAAGTCGCGCTTTGTTTACTTCCAACCGGAAGACGCGCCCACTTTTGACGCAAGGCCTCATGGGGCGTAGGAAACTTGTGGATATTGTATGAGAAAACAGTACGTGAAAGAAGCAGTACGTTCAAAACATCAGTATTCATTAAAGAGTAGGCGAGAAGTTCCCGGTTGGCTTACTGCCCAGATTTTTGAGTACTGTGCTCGTCCAATGGATACTCTTCTATCCCAGGAGGCCATCGGAGAGCATACGTCATCAACAACAGTCGCGGAGATCAGCAACGCTGGGATTTTCAAATGTGAGTAAACGCGGTTTCTTCTATTATCATTCTTGCTCAGAGACGGGGATATATTTTGTTATAAGATTATGCTTACACTCTTCTCACCGTTATGGTGAGCGGGA